TTAGCTATCTATAACCTATCTCCCGTCCCTTACCTAAGCCTGAACCTACACACATGGTATGGGTTACGCGAGTGCCAGATTTGGGCCGTATTACTGTAACCAAACATCACGTTAAGACATTTGCTATCGGTTTACGATCATTTCGTGTTATACGACTTCCGTGCTCCATTTATGCTTAGAATTCACAGCATGACGTGAAGAGGAAGCACCACCGACGTGGAGCATTCCTTTGTCTCTATAGAATCCTATCAAGAATTCGTTTTCTTCGCTCTTCTCTCGAATATTCCACTTCGTTTTGTTCTCTTCGAAGTGTTCGCAGCAACGCCACAATCCTCCTATTTCTATTGATCCGACAAATGTAACTTCAGTTAAAACCAGTCCTTCTTCTTGTAACTATCGCTGCCGTCATGGTTATTATCCTCTAGAACTTTCCTTTTGAAAATGCCTTTGCACTTACTGCCTACTTGAATGGCAGGACTCGTCAACCGTTAAGATTGTTCACAAAATCTTTTTACGCTCTGTGAATGATTGGCCCTATCGAACTATCTCCCTAGACTTAGTATATACCAGTTTATCATAGCAATGCTAAATCATGGGCAAAATTTTTGCTTCAAGTGGGGAACAAACTCACTTTCACGGCTTCTCAAGAGCCACACTATTCTAATGCACCACCGAAACCTCACGCGCTTCCACAGCTTTCAAAAGATATACGCGCAACGTTTTCTTTTTCAATCTGCTACTCCGATCTATATTTTCCGCGCTTTTCCCGAGCCAGAGCCCGAAAATTGAAATCATGATCAGCAGACACTCTAGCTTATATCTGGTTCTGATGACTATCATTGAACCGAATTCGTACTGGGCGCCCGGGTTTTCAGCAGGAACGGACAAAGAAGCCGTTACAATGTTTGCATAGAAAAAGGACATACGGCGGTTCGAGTACTGTTACTTGCACTTTTCAAAAATTACACCGGGTCGCAATAATACGCGATGCAATTCAGTGGAAGCTCTGCAACCTAGCAGAGCGCCTATCTCTGATTCCGAAAACAAAACCCGGGTATGTTTCCGAAAACAAGGGAGATTAATTGAGCCTTAATATGCCAAAATAATGTTCTAGCCAAATATTCCAATGAGCAGTATCAAACAACATATAATTGGAATATTTTGGGATTGTTTCTTGAAAAGTGAAATGATGGCTGATTCGCGCATTCCTGACTTTAACAGCTCGGATATTCAAAATTCCGATGAAACCCATCAGTGTTTCGAAAAAGCCTTCATATAAGCTCAACTAAAGCTTTTATTATCATGAATCTTCGTCAAGAGAATTAGGATGCGATGAGAATATTATAAACATCCAGTGCGCAACTCCACAGAAACATCAAACTCCTACGCATACTGTTAATGTATTGAGGTGTTTTGTGAATGTTTGTGAGATGACATCAAAATGCCAAGGAGGAAGGGGTGTTACATGGGAGCGTTGCAATTCTTGAGCCATGGGCCTTCAGCAACAACGGAAGATCAAAAGATTCGAATTAAACATGCCGCCTACCTCGCAGCAAAAGCATGAAAAAGTTGGAAAAAAAATTGACATGAACTCCCATAGCGTTAAATCCATAATCAATACATACTCAACCAAAGAGTCAGTTCCAAGAAAAACTCTATAAGGTCAGTAAATGGACTCAAGTCCTCAAACTCTGGTGTACCACTCTGCCGCCTTATGTAAACAAAACACTTGGCCATTCGGCCTCTAACGAAAACAAACTTTTATTAAAAAACTTACTCCAAAACGTCCGCATGTTCCGTACCTACTCACGGCTAAACACTGCTACGAAAAATTATTTCTCAACCAAAAGCTTCATCCTATTTTAGAATGTTCTCCTTCCTTGCTAAATTCTCATTCTCATAAAACCGCTAGGAAACCTGAGCAATTCAGAAAGAAATGTTAAGCTAAGAGCACTTTTCCAAGAGAAAAATGACCGATAAATAGTAGCATCTAAGTTGAGAACTTCTATGATTCTGCACCATCAATCCCTAAGAAATTTATAGAGTCATGACCAAAGGACGAAGCCAGCTTGTAATCGCAATTATAAGCACAAGGTCAACAATGGTCCTCAAAAATATGTACAATATGAAATAAATTTAAGAAGATCCGAAAAATAGGTAAATATTCAAGCTCTGATATTTCGATAACAAAGCCATTCTCATTCTAATAGGCTCATTTTACATACAGATAAGTATCGTGTCTCTTTTTACCTTCATGTCTGTGATTTACTCAAGTATTAGTATCCAATGGATAAAACCACAAAAAAAGAAAAGAGTAATAACAATAAAAAGGAAATAAGAAGTGCTTAACAAGCTCCGTGGCTAAAACCTATGCTTGGCCTCGAGGTGAAACTCTGCGCGGTACGACGTTTGCTCCAAACACCCGGGAATGAATCACGAAGTTATTACGCTTGAAAAATAAGCAAAAAACAGTGATTTTTGAAACATAACTTATGGGAAAAATTCTCAGTATGAAAACAAGAGCTATAAGGCCACCGTTGAAAAAAAGAAATTAGTGTCGCTGGTTTTTACTTGACCTATTTGTCAGTGACTGATTTCCTCTACTTTTTCCTCGAAGAAAAAAAAAGAAAATCAAGGGAATGATTAGCAAAACGATTTCCCAAGTTTAGAAGCTATTACTTACTATAATAAACGATTACAGCAAACCAGCAAAAAGCGAATGAGGAAAAAAGAACTGAATAGAACTTCATATTACCAACTTATTACGGAATAAAAACTTACTATGCTAAATACAGCGAAGTTTCAGATCAATACCAAGACCCTTTCACGGGTACATCTTTGCCATGCAGACCTTAAAACAAAGAAAATCAATCATTCCGTGTATCGCTGCTTATCAGCTACAGGCACAATAAACGCAATGATCGTCGTGAATTGCAAGCGCTAGTAGTTTCTTTCCATATTTCTCATCAATAAGAACGTAAGCTGGTTTATTCATAAACCAAAAACCCGAATGCGATGAAAATCTGGTGGAATCTCAACACCACAGAGTGTACAGCGCTCTCAACGTGTCGCACCTCCATAACGAACCGCATCGAGAGAGCATCGCCGTAGGAGATGACGCAGAGGAAAAAGGAGGCCGACGACAGCCACTACACATGCCTACGTTCCCGCTTTTAACACTGTCTACAAGTGTACAGAAAGCTTCAGAAGGCCTTATTATTACTCAGCTGAGCAATTCGTGGATCATTAAGCCTTGTGGTAGCTCGTTCAATTGCGCAACCAAAAATAAATCAAATAAAGTATGTCGAATATCAAAATAAAGCAAAAATAAATGCTTACAGCTAGCTATGCATTTTCCCTGAAGTTCTTCCTAGAACGTTTTATACGGCACCGCCTCTGATTAGCCGCTTCACATCAGCTCGCATAGGCTCTAACTACGTTGCCTTACTGCACAAATTGTAATTAGTACGTTTCTACCAAATTTTAGGCTTGTAAATGCAATTTTACGATAAAATATATGAGCATTGGGGTTCAACTAGGAAACAGTAAGCGCTATTTGACCCGACAATGCAGGCGGAAGCGAAACAACCCGTCCAAAGCAGCACAATAATCGCTTTTGTAGTGGATTCGGGCACTGTGTGAATGCACGGCAGAATGAGTGTTGCCCGGACGAAAGACGGGGATACAAGGGATAAAGATGAGAATGGCGCAAAGAGGGCGGGACTGCCAAAAGGGGCGGGGTTGACACCATTTGGGCCTTATAGTATGGGTTGAGATGCAGTAATAAAGCATATGTTCTCTTTCAGCATCCCCCCCTATGCATCCTTGTTAACGGCTGACACACTCCATGAAATTATCGTCGGTCTCCCCTATTAGATGTCGGTCAGACTCTGCGATTGCATCGCGCGATGCAGTCGCTCTGCCTAGAGCGACTGGCATCGCTTCCAAAGTGCGAGCGACGGGAGATTTACCCCGCCGACGACCGATACACACGGTGCACTCTGGAGCGATGACAATCGCTCTAGGCAGAGCACCTGCATCGCGCGATGCAATCGCAGAGTCTGACCGACATCTCATGCGAATAAGGGCTACGCCCAAGGCGTTTGGGGCAACAGTGCCCAACAAGAATCGCATTATCCGACTCCTCCTCCACAAAAGTTCGTTTATCATACTTACTCAGCGAAGTAGAATAAAATAAGCAAGTCAGTAAAGTATCCAAAGTAATGGACAAGACAGAAATAAATCTATCAGTGCCGAGGAGCTGGTGATAGAAAGCAAACACTGAACGGCGAAGGAGTTAGGAGAGTAAACAACCGTAATGACATCAGCGCATCAAGAGAAATCATTCGGAGGAAAAGATAGAAGAATTTTTGAAACTTTAGTAATGCGTAATTAAACGCGCGACTTACCTTCTACAAAAATATACGGAAATCGGCTGTTACCAAGATTGAAAAAATGTAGTCATTTACACAGAATTTTATTTCAATTAAGAACACAGTAAATACTGGAAGAGATCAAGAGTTGGTTTAAGTAGCCAACATAATTAAGCAGGATTACAAACCCAAACTACAGAAAAATAGTGTGTATCCCCACAACCTGTGAAAAAATGAGAACACACGTCACAAAATTTAGACCGGCAGCAAAGCAGTACCCAAATGAATAAGAACCGGTATGGATGAAAATACAAAGAGCTCGATTAACCGAGGAAATCCGGCTTTTCTGCTTGGGCATATAAGTCTATCAGTTCATGGACTCGCTCAGCAGAACTGTCCATCATATCGACAGAGAAACCTTCCTGGAACGGAAAAAATGTAGCCAATCAATGCCATGAGGATTCCGTGCAAATCAACTAAAGCTGCATTGGGCAAAGTAAACAAACCTCCTTTTGGAATCTATCAATGAATGCATTTTTACTGCGGAGACGAGCAAATTGTTGAAGAATTCGCTCAAATAACGGCGCAATGCTTGTGTTGTTATTCAGCATTAAGCCCGACACCTGCAAATATATAGGCTGACGTCATGTGGCAAAAATCATGGAATAAGAAAAGGAAGACTAGTTCCTCCCCGCTCTCGCCAAATCTTTGGTAGAAATCATTTTGTTCCGAGCCAGCAACAATGAATTTAGTGGTGAGAACTATCATAAGCCGGTATTCCTGAGATACCTCAAGCTGTAGCCACAAATGAATCCTGAACCTTCACCGCTTCATGCACGAAGTATGTAGTCAATAACCTATGCCTGCATTTTACTAAAGTAGAACAGCGAAATTATTGATTGACACGGCTGTGTAAGCAGTGGAGGTTGGAATTCGATTATTTTGAACCGAGAACAAGGACGAAACCTCAAAAGGATGTTAAAACCTTCCTAGGTGACCTATCATAGAAGGAAAGAGCCAAAGTAAATTAAGCCTGCAATAGGGAATCACCTGCTATCTACATGACAAGGAGAGGATTCGCTTATGTTTTCGAGAAGTTTCATTCATCAAAAACTTATCGAGTGAACAAATTAATTTACCTTGTACTGTGGTTTAATGTACGGAGACGAAGGTGTGTGTAAAATTCGCAACGGATTCGTGAAATCCCACGGTGCACGTCGTATTGCATTAATTGAATGCTAAAAATATGTTCGATAGAAATGCTTCGTTACGTGATTAATGCAATCAAAACGAGACTAATGTGTAAACAATTCCATATCGAAACCGTGCTGAAATGACAAGAATTCCAAAATATAATGAACGTGTATCTGGAAAGAACATGACTCACATGGCCTGACAAGCAGACAGTGTTCACGTCAGTAGAGGTGATTTGCCCCTGTAGGAACAAGAAAGCGGACAACATGCAGTGAGTTGGTCGAGTCATACTTGCAGTAGACACCTACAGTGAGCTTCAAATATCATAACTTGCAAATAAAAAATTACAGTTATAAAAGCCTAATCGGTGGTAAACCACACCATCATAGAAGTAGGCTTCAACAGATTTCGAACCACATCCACCACTGATGTTTTTCTTGTGAACGACTCATTAGGATCCACTACAGGAGAGAATCCTATAAAGTCAAGAAGTAAAGCTTGTCTATAAGTTCTAAATTCCTGGAAAAGCATATAGTTGCCTTCTTCAGCCGGAAAGGATTGAGAACGAAAAGAGAGGAGACATTCATGCTCGACAATCATACTACTTATAGTAGACTTCTATTCTTCTAGATAGATATTCTCCTACCTGCTTGGATGAAGTGCAGTGGTTGCACAGGGGACAGTGACACAGAACATATCGATCTTAGGACATGAGAATCGAAGCGGAACATCGCTGTCGATGTCGACATGATGCGAGTAACTGAATCGAAACTCAGTGCAGTCTAAGAGTTCAGTGGAGGAGTATTCCTGGATGAGGCATTGGGCAAAGACATGCACCACTCAAGAAAAACAAAAACACTACTAAAAAACTGTAACAAACCAGAGAATTGATGTGGTCAAATGTCGGCTGTTGGGTTTCGAACTTGCCAGCGGCCAGTCTGTTCAGCGCAGCATTGTCAATAACAACGACATGATCTGTAATGAAAGGTTCGTTCAATAAGAAGATTGAGAGGTGAGACCTACTAGTACTCTGACGCTAATAGCCGCCTAATTCATTAATGGGAAACGGGCGGAGCAGTAATACTAGTGGTGAGCAGGGTGAATATCGGTCGAGGATTCCTCAACGGCACGTCGAGGATTTTCGCCTGATCAGTACGTTCTCCCGCGCGGACATTCACACTCGCCATGCGCGAGCCGTCTGTGCTCTCCGCGCGTATGTTCACTCTCGGCACTACTCTCGCACAGTAGAGAGCTATGGTCGAGGAATTCCTCGACCGTTATTCACCCTGGTGGAAAGCCCATGACGATCTTCTAACTCAAATGGCGAGGAGGACAGATGCATAACCGCATTAGGTTTAGGGTGACTGATCAACTGCCATATATTAGCTTCAATGCATCTCTTCAGAAGCGTGGCGCATCCCAAACGACTGACCTACGTGACAGTGATCCTATACCTTAGTTCAGAACGTTTTACGTATTTTATGGACGTAAACATCAGTTATATAGCTCATTGCTAAAACATTGCAGTGCGCGTCGCCAGATAATAGCCAAGATTGGTTCTTGAGTTAGTTTTGGTTAGCGACTGTTTCGCGTTACGCAGGGCAAAACATTTTTGCTGCAGGAACTTCAGGTCCACTCATGAACAGCGGTGGACCAAAGGTTTCCGCAGCAAAAATGTTTTGCGCTGCGAGATATGAAAAAAGGCTCTTTCTGTCCTACCGAACCACATCCAAAATTCTTACCTGGGAAATCGATTAGCCTTTCCATAGACAACACCGAATTGTATGGGTGAACGATAACATCGCTGGTATCCTTCGTGATTCGCAAACACAGAATATGTCTGTATGACCTTCTTTGGAAATCTAAAACGAGTTTTAGGTCTCTGCTTCAGAAACGGCAAACAACAAGACAAGAAAGATGCTGAAGAAAAGTAAAAAATCACACCTGTCTCGTATTTTCTCCAAAATTAGTGATCCCATACCAGATCCAGTTCCACCTGATACGGAATGAGTGAAAAGAAATCCGTCCATCTGATCGCTGTTTTCCGATTCACGTTCAATTATGTCCATGATTTGTTCGTACACCTCTCTGAAGCATATGGTGTGCCTTCCAGTTCACGAAACTGGATAGACCTTGAAAAAACATAGCAAAAATTTGCACTGATGAAATGCCCTACCCGCCTTGTCCGTAACCGCTTGCCCAATTATTGCCGGCACCACCTCCATGCGTTGACATGTAAACGTTATCGGGATTGAAAAGTCTGCTGAAATTCTCGCTGGTCATAATCCCATTGATCACTCTTGGTTCCAAGTCAACCAGAACGGCGCGTGGGACATAGTGATCATCATCAGCCTGAGAACAAATCAGGTATAAAACCATTTTTGTAAAGACTGTTCAACGGCAGAACATGGCTAACCTGATAGAAAAAGACATCCTTGTTGTCATGTATGCTCTCTTCACATGTCATACGACCTCGCCTGGAACTCGAAGATTATCATCAAATTTCAACTTGTTTGAAATACGCCATGCACTCGAAACTCTTCAAGGAATTTGACTTAACATTCCAGATGCGCTGGCTAAGACGCATGTGAAAGGTATGAGTACCGTTAGGCCTTACGTTACCCTGCTCTCACTCTCCTCCGCTATCACCCAAGTCGTGCTACCTCACCGTGTACCCATCTATACCGTTTCCCACGTTGAGCGAAGTCGAACCATTTCGGTTGAAAAGGCTCAGTATAGAATTTATTAGGTTGTCAAGAATTAACTCGCTTCGATTCCCCCTTTACCGTGATGGTTTGCCCTACTGATTGCACGCAAATGTCTGATAATTTTGTAGTAACATCTTACGCTCATCACAGGTCGCGAAGTTTGGCTGAGATCCGATTCGACCTGATCCTTTAGGTCGATGTCAGGCTTTCCTAGCGAATCGCGGGATACGAGCGTTGCGTCAGCGAATCGAGCTGTGTACCAGCGGTTCGAACGATGTACCAGCGACTCGACACTGTTTGAAAGTGGCGAACTCAATTTGAAGATTGACTCTCGCCATTTTCCGGGCTCACGAGGACATGAGAGTGAGAGGCATGAGAGCTCGAGAAAGTAGCGAGAGTCAACGTGCAAACGAGGGAAGTCCTGCCACTTTCAAACAATGTCGAGTCGCTGGTTTGATAGCATTCGCTAGCGAATCGCTGGATTCGCCGAGTCTGGAAACCTTGTAGCGCCCTTGTTCACTAACGTAGGTTTCCCTTTTTCTGTCCGAATTTTCCTATCAGCTCTGTCTCAAAAACGCTGTAAGCGCTATCGATGTTGGCGCTTCGATGCTAAGTTCCCTGCGAAAGCTGTGCACGAGCTGACATTCAGAAGGTTGTTCTCCCTTGTTTGGATCGCAAAGCAAACGCCAAC